TTTAACTTCTTCCTCTTCCTCCTCCTCCTGCTCCTCCTCCTCCTCCTCCTCTTCGTCTGCTTGGGAAAAGTAATAAAAAAATATAATTATGTCAGAAGTTTGTTATAATAATTTACAAAATAAATTGAGAGTCCCCTCCTTCCCCCAACCTCCCATATTAAATTTTTTTTTAACTCACTACTGTAAAGAACAGATTCCTTCTTTCATTTTAAAGCAGTGAACCTGAAGCTACGACAAATATCAAAAGCCCATATCAGGCTAAGCAATATTTATAATATAGGTCACACATCGACTTGATGTCACTCTATTGGTAAATATTATTTATAGGAAAAATTAAATGGTAAGAATTTTACACAAGCGTATTTTCAATAGAAATCCTCTCCCTGCATGGAGTGGGCAGCAAGTCCAAACCTTAAATATATTTATTTGGTTTTATTTCAGTGCAAGAGTGGAAATTAATAAAAAAATATAGAATGTAAATGACAATAACAAAATATGTCCAGAACTGAAAATGTTTTTAAAGAACGAACGAAGACTGCACACAGTATTAGAATGCTCATTCTCCTGAAAATCAAAACTGAAAAAGGGTTATGAAGCAGCAACTAAAAACCTCATGAAAGACAGTAGCTTTTTAGATAACAGAGTCCACTGCAGAAATAAGCAAAGTGTAATCTGTACATTTTTGTAACTCACAAATAATAAACTGAAACACATTTGTGAACTTTTGCATGATGCAGGAAGTGTGTGGGACAGAGGCATTAACTTTTTATGTGTGTCAGTACTATGTGTTCAGATACACTTAGCTTAAAAATGCATCTTAAAAAGTAAATTAACTTATAGGTCTGTTTGGAGTCTTCTGTAAAGGCAGAGATAGGACAGGAAGGAAGGTGCTATAAAATCAGAGCATTCTGCCATATCTTTATAAAACACAGTTGAAATTGCTTAACTTAGAGGTGAATATGGTCCACAACCACAATTTTGTTCTGTGTATATGACTAGCTAACACTCTGGGGAAAGTTACTTAAGGTGTGGCTTCTATAAGATTGAGCCCTTGATACCAAAATGGGTACCAGTGTGTAGTAAGGACAGCTGTAGTGTTTTAAACTCATCTGGCATATCTGGATTTTTAACAGAGATTCTGTGTACCAACTGGCTTAAGGATCTCCCTCCCCCAAATGATCAAGCTACCACTGCTTGCCTCATGTCACCTGATCCTTCTGTGTGCTTCTCTTGTCCCATTTGTGCTGCAGAGCACATTATTTCAAGATTTTCCCAACAGTGACTCAGTTAATGGAATCATCACATATGAATTAGTTTAGATGCATCTACAACTGTTTCCCATGCATGAGAAGCTGAAGCAGCAGAATTCTTCAATTTATAAAAACACGTTTGCTACCATGTTTTCTGAATATAACTACTATTGGAGGAAAAATACCCCAACAAAACAATAAAACCCAATCAAACCACAACACACACTAACTTAAAAGCATGCCAGGAGATCTAAATATAAGCTTTTCTATTTGGTTTATTCCACTTGCATCAATCACAACAAAATCTTTTACTCTCTGGCTATTATTATATAGCAAATAGCATAGATGCACTTGGATCTCTAATTAATAGAAATATACACAGAGCTAAAGAGAAATATTTCATAAAATAACATTTGTCTTCATGTACTGTATTGCCAAGATACATTACCTGTAGAATCTTTGACACACGTTTTATAGCCATTCTTCTGGAACAGTTTTCTTATTTCTTCAAGATCCTCTTCATTTCTTTTCATCAATATTTCACTTGCCTTCATAAACTTGTTAATTGCTTGTATTCTAGAGCAACTCTTATGAAGACTGGCATTAAAAGCTTCCTTTGGGGGCAAAGGGAAACATAAAATACTGTTTTTTGAATAGCCACATGGTAGGTGTTTACACATGTGTTGGGAATAAGTATTCAACTTCAATTCATGAAGATAAGCAGCAAATTTAGGCCTTATATATACCAAATAATTAGGTTACAAAATATCAGGAATATATAGGGCATGAGTGCACAAAAACTTAACAAAAGTTGGACTAAGACGCCAGTTCATAGTATGGTAGCTACTTGCTCGTAACCTTTCAAATGGAAGTATATGCTTTTACTTCGTAAAGTATGAGATAACAGCAATTAGTTTGTATTATAATTCCCCATGTCAAAGAATTAGTGCATAGCACTCAAGTTTATAGCCTATATTACTTCTCAATTACTTCTACACTTTCTCATTTCTATAGCCCATCTTTCCTACTTTTATTAAAGAAATAAAGAACATTCTTCACAAGTTTAACTGAATGGCTGAAAGTACTGAAACTTCTATGAAGATTTTCTTTATTCTAAGTGCTAGTCATTGAATACAGGCATACCTCTTCTGTAGCGAGCTGCCGCTCCTAGATCCTTCTCCCCTATACACACGCCTTGGCACCCCATTACACCCTGATACCTTTGTCCCCTGCTGATCCAAGTGCCAACAGTGACTGCAAACTAATAAACACTGCTAAATCTACTTTAAGTCACCCACAATTTCTTGGGCACTAACCTGACATCCATTTTGAAAACTTAATAAATAAATGTATAAAAATAAGGGTCAGAACTGCTGATTACAGAAATCTTAAATCAATAATCAAAACAGAGCTGTAAGTTTACACAACGCCCCTCCCCAAGTTTTCAAGAAGGAAGCAAGTTTAAGTGTTACCTTCAGAGAACTCACTTCACGACGGAGATCACTTAAGACTTTCATTGGAGGTACATCTTTATGTTCTTAGATATGCACGTTCACATAAAAAGGTTTGGAATAGAAAAAGAAATATTAGAATTTCAGCATGCAAGTACGTTCTACATCAGAATGTGATCGCCTCTGTTGGAGATATTGAAGTTACATATTAGAGTGAGCCAAGATACCCATCAGCCCACCAAAGGTAGACCTCCACACGCCCAGAGGAGCCCAGAGGCACAAGGGCAGGGGGAACCCAAACCAAGGGTCCCCAGGGAACACCCCCGCACACTCAGGGCTATCCCGGCAGAGCCATCACCCCAGACCCCGTGTGTGCCGCCGCGGACAGAAGGCAAGGCCTGCACTTACCGGTGTTCTCTCCATGTAGAGCCTGCTCCAGTTGTTTCAACTCCTTCTCGAGACTGACGGCCACGGTGCGCAGCTTACTGAAGAAGTTCCTCGACGAATCCATCGTCTGCGGGAAAGAGGAGCGCTAAACAGACAGTGCCACAGCCTCAAACCGCGGTAACAGCCGCCAACGCCTGCCCGAGAACCACCGCTGAGGTAAAAACGGTTACTGCCCGCCGCCAGGTTTAAATCGGCAGCGGTGCGCGTGCTCCATCGGCCCCGCCAGACCCCGCCCGCCACGAGCGAGGGAGTTCTCGTGAGACCAGCAGCCCGCCGTCGCCATCTTGCTTCCCGCGGCGGGGCTGGAACGGTCCCCGGGGTGGGTGAGTGAAAGGGGAGGGGAAGGGAGGGGAGAGGAGAGAGACCTGTTAATCAGAGCGCCTCGTTCGCCCCTGGCGCGGGGTGCTTCTTGGCGGGTTGGCTCCGGTCTCTAAGGCTGGCTTGGCCCTGAACGGGCTCTGCCCTGGGGGGGAGTGGGTAGAGGATCCTTAGCTGCAGGGCGCCGTGCGCGTCGAGCCCCGCATGGATCTGGTAGGTTCCCAGCGGCCCGCGCGGGCCCTGGCGGGCAGCCGTGCTGTGTCCTGTCGTGCTTCGGCCTGGATCCGTGTAGAGCTTTAGCGGGCGCAGGCCTGAGGGCGAGCAGCCGGCGCTGCTGTGGGGACTGGACACTCCGCCCTGCGTTGCCGAAAGGGGGATTAGGGCCTGCGGCAGCAAAGTCCCCGTAAAGTTCCGTAGCTCCGCTGCTAAACCCGGGCAGAGAGCAGAACATGAGCGTGGTTGCATCATGGGACTGGGGTATGGCGGGGTGGCTGTTTCTGGCAGTAGTGCTGTTTTGTGCCGTGTTAAAGTGCTTAGCAAACTTACTAGTTGATAAAGATATTGTGTGATAAGGGACCCAGGAGTTGGGCATCGTTAGGACTAATAAACAGGTTAATGAAGAGTGTGCGTGTGTCGTAGGTTAAACCCAGGCTGTAAGTCAGTCACGCAGCCCTCTTGCTCACTTTTCCCCCTTTCTTCCCCCCACCCCGTTCCCGGAGGGACGGGGAGGAGAATCGAAAGAATGTAACTCCCACGGGTTGAGATAAGAGCAGTCCAGTAACTAAGGTATAACACAAATCACTACTGCTACCGCCAATAATAATAATGATAAAGGAAATAATAAGGGAAGGGGATACAATACCCCTTGTCAGTATGCAGCCCGACGGAGCAGTGCACTAGCCCTTCTGGGTAACTCCCAGTTTACATCTTGGTCATGACGTGCTGTGGTATGGAATACCTCTTTGGTCAGTTTGGGTCAGGTGCCCTGTTTCTTCTTCCTCCTGGCTTCCCCTCCTCTCTGGCAGAACATGAGACTCAGAAAGTCCTTGGTCAGACTAAACATTTGAGCAGCAACTAAAACCATCGGTATTATCAGTTCTGTTCCCAGGCTGAAAGTCAAAAACACAGCACTGCACCAGCTACTAAGAAGAAGAAATGACTGCTACTGCTGAAGCCAGGACAGTATGTCAAATCTAAATGTGGCTTAGTCTTACCTCTTTGTTACATCTGTGTATTTGTGCTTTCTACATGCTAGTTGGTCTAATAGAGAGTACAACTTGGTAGTACTACTTTTTCTCTACAAACCAGAGTTCCCATAGTTAAAATACAGGACTGGGTAATTGTTTACTAATAAGTTTATGGAGGGACCTTAGCTCAAAACCCTGAGGGAAGGCCAGATCTGGATCTAGAAGATAGACTTGGAAATGCTCCCTTTTTTGGCAGCACAGCTATTTGAAGAAGAAGGAATGAAGTGAATCATTTGTTTAATAGTATCTGGGTTTTTTCATAAATAATTTATAGAGGACAAGCTTTAATCTCTGTGATGTCAATGTAAGGATAACTGAGTGAACTCTTTAGCTAAATAAAAGATTTCCGTTTCCCTTTTCTGGTCTTAAGTTTCCAGTATGCATTTCCACCATTGTACTGCCTACATGGTTGTGAGTATCAGGTTCTGCACTTCACAACAGTCAGTTTAAAGGCAGTGGAGTGTGTGCAGGGTTTTAAATTTTTCTGGTTAAATTTTTAACGTTTGTCCCTAAGATAATGAGTATTTTATGTTTTGTTTCTGTTTTCAGGCGTAATGTTTTTAACAACGGTCTTATTCCGAAAGAGAATTCCTGGAAACCAATGGATTGGGAAGTACAGGCGACCAAGAGTGGTTACCCTTGCAATGAAGCAAGCAATGATTCAAAGGTTGGAAATTGAAGCAGAGAATGAATACTGGCTGAGTCGACCTTACCTGACGCAGGAACAGGAGTACAAACATAACACAGAAGAGAGACATGCAAGATGGGAGGCTTTCAAAAGCCGGGCGAGAGCCAAGTTGCCTGAGCACAGATACATCAGCGATGACTTAAACCACCTAAATGTGACAAGAAAGTGGACAACTTGAATAATACAGCATATTTGTGTTTGGCATGTATTACGTGCTGTCGTGGCATCTGATGCTGTACCTATTATGGTAGTTTTGTAATTCAGTGTAATACAGGTGGATGGCAAATGAGCCTCTGCTGTGGTGTACAGAATCTCATTAAATCAAGGCCTGTGGAACAGTGTATGTTTTCTTATTGTCTCTTCAGAAAAGAGCTCTTCCCATGGCACTCTGTCATCTGCCTGCCTTCTGTTCTTCAGGGGCTTTGTATAAACCAGCGTGAGTTACCAGGTGCAGTGAACTAGATTTATAGCTTCATTAATTTCCTTTTGAAGGCTTGGAGAAAGTACCTGCTCTGTTGAAAGGGATTATCTGCTGGTGCTGACCAGGCGGCTCTTACTGGTTGCTTCCCTTTCTGAAGGGGTACTTCTGTATACATCAGTACATGCCTGAGGCTACTGACGATGTAGTGCTGGCTTCATCAGGCATGCAAGGACCAAGATGAACTAGAATTAGAGAGAGGTGTATAAGGCTGGAACTTCTGGAATACTGTAAAACATCTAGTTTTAAATTTTCTGGAAAGAATTGTTGAATTTAAATGCCAGTGTCATTGTCATGTCAGTGTCAACTTGGGTGTTAACTGCTCTCTTAAGAGATAATTTATGATCTAAAAGGAATATAGTTGATTCTTGTTTGAGTGGCAGTCTGATTTCCAAGTCATGTTTAGTGTCCTGAAGGACACAGTAAGCCACAAGCCAGAGGTTTCTTAGTTCCCCTCTCAAGGCCAAGTGACCTGAAGGAGTGAGGAGTGTGTAATCTTAGGTTTGTTACAGCTGGAGTGTAAAACCCGGCATGGTTACAAAATGCTTCCCACCAGGCAGGTTTTCTCACTGATCCAACACAAGTGTGCTACAGCTAAGCCATTTTCAGATTCTTTTACATACTTTTATTAAATTGATGTTGCATTCACTGGTGTATTCAAGTGTCAAGTCCATTCACATTTTATCACATTGGAAAAGAGGCCTAAAATAATACAACTCTTTATTTCAACACAAACTATACTTTGGAAAAGTATGAACAGGTCTGAACACTGATGTACAAAATCCTGAATGCACTTTTAGTGGCTATAAATGGCTTAAGATGACATTTATGGGAAGAGTATATATATGGGGAAATTGCATAATAAAATTAAAAAATAAAGGAACTTCCAGGCAAAGCAGTGTGATTTTGTATTTAATTTATAAAAGCCCCTTTTAAAAAGTTACTTCAAGTAATAAACTATAAATGGCAACATGTTTTCTCTGTGCATAGGACTAGTCCTATCTGTAACATATAAAAAAATAAAATGTGCTGTTATTACATAGATCTTTTACACTTCACCTCAGATTTCAGTACGGCTCATGACAAGTTTAGGCAGCACAGTTAAAACCAAGCACATGGAAGTAGAACAATTGGGACATTGTGAGTAGTGCAAATGTTAGACCCTTGTTGGCAAATCCAAACAACTGCAGAGAGAACCCAGTGACATTTCACCTGTCCAGGTTAAAGAGGGGGCAGGTGTCACAGCAGGGATGCTGCCTCCTTCCATGGTAGTTTGATGACTGTAAATTGATCAGAAAGGAACTTGCTAAGCAGGTTGTCAGCTAAGCAACTTAAAGGGAAGGGAATCTGCATGTTGCTGTTAATGCTTTGGTGCCAACAAAGGTGATTCCAGCACTTCATTCCCCAACACAAAACCAAATAAAACAACCCTGTAAACACTGTCAGACTTCACTACCTCATGGAAACAAGATTCAAGTAATTGCTGCAGAAAACAAACAGCCAAACACTGGTTTGAATCTGCATTAAAAATAACTACAGCTTGCAGCTTCGTTACATTTCATGAGTGGAATTCAGAAAAATGCATATAAAAAGCTGTCTATATATACAAAATAAATTGATGTAAATTACTGTACTAAGCATGTTCAGTGCAAAATCACTTCATATGCAGCTGCCCTCTTTGGTGCCATTTAGGGCTAGAAGAGCCTCATAATGGTACACACCTAGCTATTTGGTCAGTACTGTGAAAGACTTGACTATCTGCACCGAGTGAAAGTAGCCGCTGCTCGGAGCCTCTGGAAATGCATACTTGGATCCCCCAGCTGTATACAGTTTCAGACAGTGGCCTCAGAGAACTTAATGAAGCTCAAAGTTTAATTTTTCTATCAAATATGGTCAGTCAGTGCTTCAGATCCAGGTGGGTGTGGTTAATCAGTGTCAGAATCTGTGACTTGGTAGTTTTGCCAGACACTAATGCTGCTGTAAATGCTGGTTTTTAACTCTTCTTGGGGCTCTGGTGAGCTAGAAGCGGACCATACTTCAGATAAATCAAGAACTTCTTTGAGTGCATTCTGAATAGTATTGAATGTAACCAAAACCTCCAAACACCGGAAGATTAGTTGCAGTAACAGAAGAGCCACAAGAGGTCAAATGAGGGAAGGAACAGTACCTGAAGTGTAGCACCCTGGAGAACAGGGCTGGTTTCTAAGAACAGTGTACCAAAAGCAGTTTGGAGCCTGCAAATTCCACATTCAAGAGACAGCTTTAACAAAGTTACTGTAATCTCAAATCACTAAAAATAGGAGTTCCCAAACTCTCTAAAATAACTCTCTGAATATTTAAAGTGGAAGTTTTTAATCAAAGGCTTGTGACGTATATAACCAGTGGGTGACACTGCAGGCTCGGGTGATGCTGCAAGAAGCCTGTTATGACAGAAAACAACACTTCTTCCTGCCCTGTCCCTGTTAAGCGCCTTTGGTAGAAGCAGCAATGGTGTCTGGTGTGCACTCTAAATAGATAATCCTAGAGAAAAAAACGGTTTTAAGTATTATTAATGGATCTTCTGCCTCATCTTCACAGGTACAGGTTTATCATCACAAGACATTTCAGAAACCCAGAGGAGAATCATAGAATAGAATCATCAAATCATAGAATAGTTAGGGTTGGAAAGGACCTTAAGATCATCAAGTTCCAACTCCCCTGCCATGGGCAGGGACACCTCGCTTTAAACCATATTACCCAAGGCTTCATCCAGCCTGGCCTTGAACACCGCCAGGGATGAAGCATTCACAACCTCCCTGGACAACCTATTCCAGTGCCTCACCACCCTAACAGGAAAGAATTTCCTCCTTATATCCAATCTAAGCTTCCCCTGTTTAAGTTTTAACCCATTACGCCTTGTCCTATCACTACAGTCCCTAATAAAGAGTCCATCCCCAGCATCCCTATATGCCCCCTTCAGATACTGGAAGGCTGCTATAAGGTCTCCACGCAGCCTTCTCTTCTCCAGGCTGAACAGCACCAACTTTCTCAGCCGATCTTCATACGAGAGGTGCTCCAGTCCCCTGATCATTCTCGTGGCCCTCCTCTGGACTTCCTCCAACAGATCCATGTCCTTTTTATGTTGAGGACACCAGAACTGCACACAATACTCCAAGTGAGGTCTCACGAGAGCAGAATAAAGGGGCAGGATCACCTCCTTTGACCTGCTGAAAGATTTCACACTGAAATCTTGCCCTGCCTCAGGCTTTTTTTTTTTTTTCCCACTGGGAGTTCAGTCACATTCTGCATGTATGACTCGTGTGTGTATGGGGATTTTTTTTAAAGAAAAAATCAGTAAGAATTACTAAAGCATAGTTTCTAATTGCAGCCAATGTCAACTATCCTGCAATAACTACTATTTATGGCTTGCAGTAGCAATTTGATGGATCTAAAAGCTTAAGGGCTGTTACTTTTAGGGGCAATCTAGGTATTTTCAAGAATGCTCATACACAATATGTTAAAGCACAAACCCAGCATGTACAACATGACCCAGCACCCTGAACAGTTGGTTTCTTAGGATCCATCTTCCTCCTGGTCTTCTTGCTCCATTCACTGCAAGCTTTCAGTGGATGGGGCAAAGGGCCCATTTCCTGGAGTACCCCCAACAGTCCCCAGCCACTGCAAGCAGCAGTACCAAAGTTTGCTTGAGCTGAACTGCCAGAGCTACTTGCCCTCCCCAACTCGGTCAGCAGGTGGTGAGCAATTATATTGTGCAGCACTTGTGGCTCTTGGGCTTTATTTCTCTCTTCCCTCCTTTTCATTACAATTATTATTATGCTTTATTTTAGTTATTAAATTGTTCTTAAACTGGTCTTAATCCAGGGGTTTTACCTTTGTCTGATTCTCCCGATCCCACCAGGGACAAGGGAAGCAAACACATGGCTGTGTGGTACCCAGTTGCTGTATGGGGTTAAACAGTGACAGTATGTATGTATTACTCAGCTGTAACACATCAATGTAGTAAAAGCCATATGATGCCCTGGGTCCTCCATTAAACCTCCACCAGCGTTTGGGGCTGCAAATTTTGGTATTTGAAACAAGCCACTTAAACATGCAGCCTTCTATCTCTGTCATCTCCTTCAAGAAATTTTGCTAGTGCATTACTGCTGCAAGCTTATGTTCAGATGAGCAATTCTCACTTGACACTTGAGAAGAAAAAGCCAAACCTTCCAGATTAATGTGTAGCAAATGTTTTTTGTAAGTTTTAAAGTTAGCAAATGCAAAACTCCTTGTACAAAGTTTGAAGAAACATTCTGCAACTTTTATAAAACATGCAAGTTTGGACCATTACTTCTATCTCAAGAACATCCAACAGTGACCAAATCATGTTAATCAGTTCTCAAAGTGTTCTTGTTCTAGAAGATTAATACCCAAGAAAAGTTTATTATTTCCAAAGGAAAAAAAACCAACTTATTTTAAACCTTACAGTACTTGATACCTTATTATCTCCATCATAAACATATTATTGGGCTACTATCTTCAGTTTGTATCAAAAGGGCTCACATCTGTTTATTATCAGCATCAGCTGAACATCAGAAAAGTTACGCTCAGGGAAGTAGTACTTGTCATTTTTTCCAGGTGCAAAATTCCAACACCACCCGAAGAGGAGATAGCAGTCTTCTATAGAGGAGCAAGGGGAAAACCATCCCTGTTGTTTGCTGTTTGTCTTGAGCTTAGGATGGACTTTATTCTGCAGACAGGAAACATTTTGCCTTTTGGGAACAGGTACATCACTGCATGAAGCACTCAATCTTTAGCAATTTCAGCAACACAAACTGGACTTGAAAGTGGCAGACTAAAGGATACAGGTTTTCAGTGTGTTAA